CACACGCTCATATTCGTTGGAGGATTACGTTATTCAAAATTCGATGACTCTATGTACCGTTGTTTTATCACAATACGAGAAATATACATACATTTATGCAGATTTTTCATTATTTAATTTCTTCAAATATAATGCAGGACTCTAACATTTTGTGGCAACAGTTTGAAAAGTGAACCGACATTTATGAGTCCGACGCAAAATGCCAAAACGAAACTAATAGTCCTTCGGGATTCAAATCCCTTTGGACTAATAATATTTTCTGACGAGATACATTGACGAGTACTATTATGGTCTGAATTAGTACTATTATGGTCTGAATGATAAAGTATCGAAACATAAACTGGCAATAATTTTACGAAAATATGATGCCGATAAAATTGCGATGTCGTAAATTGCGAATACCGATAAAATTGCTAAAGATGTTTCTAACACCAGTAATTCCAAGGATTAATGGCCTGAAGCTGAGAATTATCGGGGAATTTTTTGTGAGATATTGCACATATAGAAAAATTACGAATTTCCTCAATGATAATGTTTATAGCAACAAAATGCCATTTTAACATTACAAAGACCTTCTTACATGAATATTACATGAGAACATATGACGATGAAGAGAAGGATGGAAGGCTTACAACACGGTACAGTTGTAAAAAGTGACAATAAAGAGCTTTAAAAATTTTACGTAAATATATGGTCTATAAATTTGTTGCCTCATTATATAGTCCATAATTTTACTCACTTCCCATTTAAGACTTAAATTTCTTCATTCAATTGAGAAAAAAATTGCTTTGACTTATTACTCCTAGTTTACACTTTGCGATCTATAACAATTAAAATGCGTGTTTTGTAATAAACCTGAAGTCATGTGTAGCTACACTAAATTAATAAAAACAACCACGGTACTCATTCAAGTATTTTTAAGCAATTCGATAAAAGTTTGTATCCATCTGTAGCAAACAACTTGTAGCAAATACATAAAATTACGCTTACAAAGGCACTTAGACTACAGAAATGAGATTTAAATAATAATACAATAAACAAAAAAAAAACAAAAACAAAAAAAAAATCTAAGAGGTTTCAAATTTTAACGGTCGCCCAAAAAGGTTTTTTAAGGTTTTTCACGCTCTCGCTGAGTTCACAGTCTACCAGTCTGCTGTTACACTCACTTCTACTAACACCCCCTTTTATTGTCTTAGCTTTATTCTTAAGCACCATTTTCCTCGCACTTACAATTCAACGGAATTACAAAAATTTTAAAAGTAGCATAGCAGTATACGCTTAGAATTTCCGATGCAGGCATACATATCTTTCTGTTCCGCTGCCAGTCTTTTCACTGTTCATCATAGCAATGCTCAATTTTATTACTAAGATGGTTTTACAAAACTTCCCTTTCTCTTTTTCTTTCCTTGTTTTTTAGTCCAAAGGGATTTGAATCCCGAAGGACTATTAGTTTCGTTTTGGCATTTTGCGTCGGACTCATAAATGTCGGTTCACTTTTCAAACTGTTGCCACAAAATGTTAGAGTCCTGCATTATATTTGAAGAAATTAAATAATGAAAAATCTGCATAAATGTATGTATATTTCTCGTATTGTGATAAAACAACGGTACATAGAGTCATCGAATTTTGAATAACGTAATCCTCCAACGAATATGAGCATGTGGAAGACCAAATTTGAAATTTGAAATTTGTTTTATGATCGATTTCCTATTTTTTAAAACTTTGACGAATTTTTGATTAACAAACTCAAGGATTTCAAAGCGAGCAATGGCAACGTTGTGCAGAAAAAACATTTTTATCTCCAGCGCGTGAGTCTCTGTATCGGAAATTCTAAAGATATGCTCGTTTTAAAACTATTTTGCGATATTGCTGTTGCACTGGATCTTATGGTTTAAGTGCGAGGAACATGATATTTAATAAAGAAAGGTAACACACAAAATGTTAAAAAACGCCCCTTTGGACGTAATTTAAAATCTGAAACATTTCAGATTTTTTTTTTTTTTTTTTTCTTTTTTTCGGGGGGGGGTTTTTGTGTATTACTTATTTTAATAACGTTCTTGGAGCGAGCTACATAAAACCATCAAGGCAAAATCAAACATTTAAAAACCGCCAACCTTAGAATTTTAGATAGCCGTCTCCGCGTGAATGAAATCCTCCCCCGTCAGTTGTCATGCTTGCTCTGAAATATGAGGTGTTAATAAAAAAATTCGCTAAAGTTTTACAAAATACGAAATAGATAATAAAATTAATTCGAAATTCAAAATTCGGGCTTCTAAATAGCAAGTTCGAGCGGAGGACACGTTATTCAGAATTGGATGCTCTAGGTACCGTTTTTTTTTTTTTTTTTTTTCAACGTGAGAAACCATTCACGCAGAATCTTCATTATTTAATTTATTTAAATATAATACAGGGCAAAAAATATTTGTGGAACAATTTGAAAAGTAATACGCCGTTTATAGTGACTTAACACAAAATGTCGTTTCGAGACTAACGTCCCTTTTGGCCTGAAAAGGGGGGGTTTAGAGCTTAGTTACAACAGCATCTTCTTCCAGAATGAAACGTGCTAGGTTCGATTTCCCGCTGAATCATATGTTCATTTACCTAGCAAATTTTTTCAGTCTTTTAAAATCATTTAAAATATCATATATATTTAAAAACATCATTTTTCTTAAACTCGTTCCCGATATCAGTAAAATATTTACATTTATTCCTCCTGTAATAATTTAAAATATATTCTGATTTTTATGAACCATATTAAAATATGAAATAAAATTTAATTAATCATCCCAAATTACACCAAGATATTTAATTTCTTTTCTAAAATTTATTCTTTGATTCTTGCATTTCAACCTTGGTTCTCATGTCTGCTTTCCTGCACGGGGAAAGTACACATCATTTCTCTGTTGACTATCGAACTTTAACCCTTCTTCTTCTTCCCAATTCTCTAATTCCAGAACTAATTCATCAAAATATTCCTCGATTATTTCCAAAGATTTACCTTTTATAAGCACCAGAAGGTCATCAGCATAGGCTACCAAATGTATATATTCAGGAAAATGTCTTTTCAATAAATCATTTGCAATGAGGTTCCAGTACAGAGGAGCACTAGAAGATTACTTTACCAGGAAAATGGAGAAGATTAATCATGATAAGCTTGCAGTAGGGATTTTAATTTGAACTTTGTTTTTTATTTACGTTCTTTATGTCTGTTTGTTGAAGGTGTTGTTTCTAGCTCGCTTTGGCGCAGCCCGCAAAAAAGCCATAGGGCGACGGTAAAGTCTGCCAGGAGGGTCGGCCTGCGTCCCTCATATCATATGATGTTCATTTACTTTTTTTAATTCAATCTCACACAAATAAAATTCGTTACAATATTTTGATTCCATAATCCTATTTTTCATATAAAATTGATTAATCTTACGGCAAACACATGGGAAATATTAACTGCTTTTTAAGTTCCCAACGGAAAATAAAAATCTACTGTAGCTTGAATTTTGCAGTGATTATGCTAACTTGCTAATTTCAATTATCTGAACATTATCTGCATCCAATAATCACAAAATAATTCGTCCAATGTAACATCCAATGATTACAAAATAATGTGCTGGAAATATCAGTATAAACAACGATATTTCCGAATTATATTTATTATACGGAAAAGATAACGTTTTACAAATATACGTACCCAATTGAAAACTAAACAAGCTTACAAAGCTCTTGAAATACGAAATTATACTTCAAAATAATAACTCTAAAAATATCTCCACAAATTTACTAAATGCCTTTCGTCATGCAATTTTAGATTATATTTCCTATCACGTAATATTAAATTGAAAATTGGCGCTTCTTTTCTTAAGTTCTAGGTATAAATTAAATATCAAAATTTAACAAATTGAATCCTAAACAACCAAATACTAACATTTAATAAATAAGAATGGATTTTTAGTATGGCAAACTTATCAAGAAGTAATTGCTATGCAGTAGATACCTTCACAAAAGTTTTCAGAAGGGACAACTAATCAGGGTGCCGTTAGGTTACGTTATTTGAATATGGCAAAGCTCACGGGGTTATCTGTCTAACGACAGGGATGTTTTTGTGGAAAGCTTTCCCACAAAAACTGAGGAAAATTGACTCGTAGTCACGTTACATATACGGAAAAACCATAAAAAACAACCCATGCAGCCACAGACAAATTCCCTGGGATAGAATCCAGGTAGAACTCCTATAAAGCTTACTTTATTACTGAATTATTAATGCATTTATTATTATTTTATTAGCCCAATGGGCTAATAGTCTCGAAACGGGATTGGTGGCGAATCACTTTATACATCTGAATCACTTTTCGAAGTGTTAACACCAAATATTATCACTCAGTATTACATTTAAAGAAATTAAATAATGAAGAACCTGCATGCAAGTACCTATGCATCTCAAACTGTGAAAAAATAACGGTACCTAGGGCCATCAAAATTTTGAATAACTACCCGAACCCAAACATGTGCACCTGCAAGCCTGAAGTTTGAATTTCGAATTTTATATTTTCTATGAACAAAATTATATTTCTAAGATACAAAAAGAAATGGGTTAGCAGGAGTTAGTGCAACAGCAGACTGGTAAAAACCTTAACAAACCCTTTTGAATGACCATAAAATAAGCCCTCTCAGATTTTTTTTTTTTAAATCTTTTTTATTTTTATAGTATTCAGTGGTCTTAATTATTCGGCCGCAATCAAACAGATAAGAAAACTGTGAAGCAAAGCTCTCGAGGGCGAACTATTATTAAAAAGATGCTTTTATGAATGCTTTTTCATGAAAAAATGGCTCACACTTTACATTACTAGTAAGAAACCAGACTGATCGACTCTGAGAGTCGAACCCGAAGTCAGCTAACCAACATTTAATTATCTGCTGTTAATTGATCTTAAAAATCAACAAACTTCTAACTGTGAAAAGCATATTTGCAGTAACACTTTAAATTGAAACGATTTGCATAAATTACTCACTATAACATGCTGTAATTCTTTCATACATGGAAAATTCCAAATAAAGTTTCTTACCTGTAAAAGAAAAAGAGAAAAGATTGAAATACAAGTACCAAATCTTACTAAAATGAAAAACTTAAAGCATTACATTTATAGATCTCACTTCATTTAAAATTATTTGCTGGAACTGATCTTACACATAACTACATATCATACACGTAATTTTAAATTAAAGAAACATATAAAATACAATTAAATCGTTTTCAGCAAACAATTTTAGGTTAGTCTTACATCGTTATAATCATTAGAGACTTTATTACCATTATCCTTAAAAGAACAGTCTTCGTTGTAATAAACACCATTAGTATAAAGATTTAACTTTAAAGACGATCTAACAAGTGTACACACATCGATAGCGTGTAAAATTTTGTTAAATTATGATTGCAACGTGGTAACTTTCATTAAGAATAATAAAAATAAGTTTGAGGAATAAAAGAAATCCTCAAAATGAATTCTAGCAGTATTTGCATTATAAAATTATAACAATATTAGCTTAATTTAAAAGTTATGGTGGCAAAATTCTAAGAACCTCCGCTTACAGACTGATTTTCCATTGATATGCATAATAGGTAAGTAGATTTTTCATTTCTGTTATGTTCATTTTTTTAATCATTTCTCACTCTCTTGCAAGAAAATTCAAATAATCTATTTTTACACTTAAAAAGGTGACTGTTTCAAGCAAACCATTTATTTACAAATAATAATTTAGTTATTTTAAATAAACTTCAGTTCAATTAAACAAGAAATTAATTCTCATTAATTTTGACATTAATCATTAAATCATATGTTTCAGCAAGTTGATTTGCACTTGTTATAAGACGCTCTGGTGCCACAATTAGGAATACAAATATTTTTCTAAAATCGATTGCTAAAATGTTCCACCATTCTCACATAACAATAACAGCCCTCTATGTCGTGAGTTACTATAATTTTGTGCTTATTGCTTTCGAAAGCTTAAGAATAGCACACTGTAACTGTACCGTGCGATAAGAAATGTGAAAAAGTGCATTATTACGGTTTTTTAATCTTATTCTCTCCCAAGTTTCTGTTATATTGCTTTAAATAGCGTTCTAAATTATTTGGAAGGGAAATCATAAATATGATAAAAGTCATTTTAAAGAACGTTGTATAAGCAATGCTAAACGTTTTATATATAATTTTTACGCGAAACAGTTTAGTTCCTTCTGTTTTACCCGAATTTTCAGTTCATCCGAAATAGGATTGGCACTTCCGATAACTGCGATTCTATTTCATTGCATGCTATCGAATGATAGTAACAAAAAGAAAAAAATCTGTCCAAAATTTTAAAATCGCTAAACAGAAAAACTAAATTTTTGTTTTTAATGAATAAAGTCATTCGTAAAAGTAAAGTCATGTTAATGAAAATATATGATAACTACACAAGAATACGTTTACCAATAAGTAACTATAAAATAATTTTATTTCAACAAATACGATAAACTTTAAATGAATCAAATAGTTATTGATACACATTATATATAATAATAATAGTTTAGAAATTGTTAAAAATAGATGTTGAAGCATAATAAATAAGTTATAATAGATGTGGCAGAACTAATAACATTCATTTTTATTTTAGTTGACATTTGTTTCCAAAAATAAACTGGCACACTAATCGTGCTTGTTCCAGAACTTTTCACATTTTTGAAGAGGTCAGATGTTAGGTTTGGCTAGCTAGAGAAGCAGAAAGCAAGTGCGATGTGTTCAAGATAAACTCTTAGTTTACAGTCAGTGAGTTTCGATTTCGATAATCTTTATATTATTATTGGGTGGAGACTTCTGCAAGTTACTTGTCTTATAGCATTATCTAAATATTAATATATAATTCTATTCTTCTTGATAAACATTTTTTTAAGCCAACAAAGATAAAGCGTGTGTATTAATGGCGATAGATAGATTAAATTGGGGCTATCGGCAATTCAAGCTAAAATTTTTAATTTCATATTTTATCTTACATATTCAAGAATATATATACATATTGTTACGTTATTTTCTTCCTTCACGTTCGTGCGGGGTTCGTAGATTTGGAGTGAATAACGACGACGCTTGATGAAGCATCGAAACACACTTTATTTAGCCAATACTAATTAGGACAGCTCCAAAGTCCCGTTTTACAGTCGTCGAAGATCTACTATACACTCGCTTGAACAATCAGCGACAAAGCCTTCGGGTTATCAGGCTACAACGGTGGAGACAGCTTCACTGCAAAGCACCAGACTACAGCTCCCGACACTGCTCGGTCGTTCTCGGGAACTCCACGTACTCTCGAGATTCTCCACGCTACAACTCGCGATGACTCGACGACATACAGAGTACAGCTCCCGACTCTTCGGTTCAGTCGTTCCCGGAGCTCATCACACTCTCTCGACGATGCGCTAACCGCGATACACTAAGAGACTCTTTCGATGCACTCGGCGACCCACTCGGCACTCGCTGCCCTTAGGGTCGTTCGACTCCGCACAGAATGACTAACTCGCCGCATTCTGGACGAGGCACTCCTGACTGCGGACCAGCAGGGTTTATATAGCTTTTGGCTTGTGTTCGAGAACATTCTGGGCTGAACGGGTAAGAATTCGTTCCAGAAGGTTCTCCATCCGTCCATGGCATATCGCCTATTTTGTCGCCAAATGGGCGATTTCTCGCCAAATGTGGCGACCCTGTTTTCCCTTGCCACTTTATGGCAACCCTAAACCTGTTTTGCGGGGAAGCCATCTTACCGCGCCTGTACATTTCGTAACAATATATGCACATAACAAAAATGTAAAAATAATCCAAGGAAAACAATCAGAACCATGCATCTTTTTTATCAAGAAACTATGTGTAGATTACATGGAATTAAAAATGTTCATCCAAAGTTTAAAAAAATCGCTCAACAATTTTCCCCGTATGTCATAAAGGCAAACTTTTTTTGCGCAGCTTGATTTGCTCGTGTGTGGTACGGGCATCTCATTACAAGTTTTAATTTTAGACTATTCTGTATTTCTATTTTAGTTTACTTTTTTCTGTTTCTTAATAAATTTAACTGATCATAAAAACTTTGTAAGGTTCTCACACCCCTTTTCGTTATTCACTGCGTAATAAAATATCTGCTTTCTTGTAAACATTGTGTTGCATATGTTATTTTGCTTAATAACGTTTTATTACAAATTAAATAACTTTCATAGTCTCATTATTAGAAGCACACAAAATAGCTTTTAAGTTATATTACTGTATTTTGCATGCTTTAATTTTCGTTCGTTTCGTGCTTCAAAATATACTCAAAAATACCCTTTCTGCGCCATTCCTTCTTTTAAAATAAACCATACCGAGATGAAATATTAAGTTATGGCTAAAAGTTTCCCATGTATCATAAATACGAAATGTAAAACTATGCAAAATGTTTATTACTACCTGCATGTGTTTAAAAAAGCCAACATTACAGAGGTATTTCTACAAAATAAGCTTATTACTCATACTTTTCACATACAATACATTTAAAAAGGCAACTTTCTTTCAAATTCTATAGCTTAAAAAAAAAATAACAATTTTAGGGCAGTTTTTGGAAATTTACTGAGCTGAGTAGTAGTAAAGAAAAGAGAAATTTGTAAATCCATATATGGGTTAAAAAAAGGTTTTCATTCTTACACTAGCGCATATCGACGGCCGGCATGCGACTGGCTTACTGCCTCCAGGTTATAACATTAAAGACAGGAGAACAAAAAAATTCTGTTTCTAACTTAAATACCCTAACTTAAAAACTTTGCGAACCGTAAAATGATCAAAGCGGTAGAGGGGGAGGCAGAAAGCGTACGCACACACAAACACACGTTGGTTAAATATCCGAGAGATAAAAAAGTTTTTTTATTCTGCTGGGTGACGCAGATAAATAGAAGACGGGGGGAAGGCATAAAAATTAAACGATTAAAGATGAGAAGCAACAAAAGATGAGGTGAATAACATAGAAGAAAACAACTTGGCAAAAGAAATTCTTCAGAGAATTATCGCAAAAATGTTTCTAATATAGCTTTCAATCGACGTCGCAAGTAAAGAACAAAAGCCAAGAACAAGAAGTCTGGAATCTCGCCAAAAAAAAAAAAAAAAAAAAAAAAAAAAAAAAAAGTGCCACTCAGCGATGCGAAATACGATTAGTGTCCACTTCGAGAAAAGAAAGTGCTTTTTCCCTGCAGGCTTTCATAACGGACAAAGCTCTTACGTGCGACCCCTCCCCAATAACCCATTTTCCTTGCTAAAAGCAAAACGTCGCCATAATCTATCTGATGGTAACATAAAAACTACAGAAATAAGAAATCGCAAATGTAGTCATCACACGATATTACACAAAAAGCCAACAGTAAGTTTATTTGTCATTTCGGGAAATAAATTCACAAAATTTCTACTTGAAAAGTTGGTTCTTATGTCTAGAAATACGTTTCACGTCGACAACATAGCTACGGACGATAGTTTGGGATAGCCTAAAAGAGTGGTCTACAGTTCCGCTGTGGATTAGAGCTTAAACGTGAGCTGTAGTTATTCGTTCTATAATTTTGTGCATCTCCAAATCAGATGATGGTGGTTCAGTGGGTTTACTAATTTTAACACTTTTACATTTTAAACAATATTTTAATTACTATATACAGAGCGTATTCTTAGGCCGCCGTCTTCAACATGAACAAACTTTATTCTCTTACAACTAAGCGAGCAACAGCGCCCTCTAGCCTTTTTCTTCAAATTACACAACACTCCCCACCTGAACTCGGTGGAGAGTTCATCTTTCAATAATATATTCTAGAATATTCAATTAATATTTCGACAATAAATCCTGGAGAAATGGTTAAATATAACAAACATGCATACATAATTATAAGCACATAAAATTTTACAAAACATTAAATGATACCTATCAGCAAGGTCAGGAGAATCAAACCTAAAAATACAAAATACAAACATTAGTTAAGTTCCATATTATATAACAATTGTATAGGCCTTTTTAAGGTACCAGTAGGTGTTTTAATTAT